GGCGCTGCGGCCTGCGGGGCAAGGGCGGCATTTTCGGAAGCTTATTATCCCCGCGTTTTATCTGTGGTTCTGCACCACGGGCGATATTTTCATAGTGTTTCGAGCAAAATTTATTGCCTCGTCTGTTAATTACTTTGTTAATTAATAATTGGTAGCCGGCCGCGGTTTCGGCATTATTTGAAGCCCCGGTGGAGTCGGATTGCTGAGGTTTGGAATTGTTTTGTCGCTGCGGCCCCGTGTGAGACACCGCAGTGTTCCGCGAAGAACGCGTGGAGGAGGAAAATCCCTTTTGAGGAAAAAGTTTCTGGTGCTTGAAGGGCAGATTCTTGTTGGGGTACTTTTTCTAACGGATGAAGAAACTGTAGGAAGCTTTGATGTTGAAGGATGAGCACAAGTTTAGTTAGAAAACACTAAAGAATGAAAATCTTACGAGCAGCGCTGTTTCCTTCCATTTCGCGATTTGGGGTCGTTTTAACGAGCATTGTCCATATCCCTAAGCCTTTTGGAAGATCTGGGATAAATATGGAACGATTGAGTTTGGGTTTTTTCTTTGCTTGTAACATCTACCTTTTGTTTAGATTGCAGCGAAGATTGGAGGCGATGCTGGCACCGCAATGAATTCTAACGACTACGGTTATGGAGGACAGAAAAGACCTCTGGAGGACGGAGGTACGCACTCATTACTGCTGCATTTATCTTTGTCGAGTATGGCCACTGTGCCAGAAAGTTTGCAGGTGGTGTTTTTGTTTGTGGATTCGTTTTTTTCTCCATAGCACAGCATGAAAACGTTTTGTTCCCTTTATAGATCACGACAGTACTACTATTCCATTATCAGTTTAATGGGAAAGTTTGTTTTAGACTGTTGTGCATTAACCCAAAGTGATTGTAAACCTGCTTTAAAACGTTTTAAATGTGGTTTAAATGCTGAAAATAGAAGAATGTGTGTTGGGGAGGGAAGCAGAAAAAAAATACATGGTTGAGAAATGCATTCACAGGTATGTTCTTTGAGTCTCTTGTTGTTTGTCTCTTGTTACAAACTGATTGCAGTTAGAGTAGGAAGTGCTCACTCGAACTTGATTGTATCATATACTGAAAGTATTAGTGAATTTCATTGTAAAAGCACTGGACTTTAAAAAAAGAAAGTAAATATTCTACCTTGTAAACACTTCTGCTTAGTCTTACTATTTCAGCCCTCAGCGTGTGTGAACCCTGATAAGATCATACTTAAATCTTCTGACCTGTTGCAGCTTTTTGGATTTGCCTTATACTACAGTAAAGTTTTCTCCTGAAATGTGTGTGTTGTCTTCTGTCTCTTATGGAACAGCCACTTTGAACTTAACAGGGTTTGATATGTTTATTAGCCACACAAAATCCTGGCTAAATTATGGAAAGAAGTCTCTGAGCTTGTTGAAATGTTCTCATAGGTCTCACAAAAGAGCAATGCCTTTTTTTCCTTTAAGAGAATTGAAATTCAGTCTGCAGAATGTAACTTAAGGCTTTATATCAGGAGTTCTTGTGTCCTGCAACAAAGTTTTTTTTTCTATTAAAGGTGAGGTTTTTAATATACAAAAATGAGCTAATGATGCTTCAGATGATATATGTAATGTATTCTTTTTATTTTATGTGTAGATGGCTCTTGGACAAGTCCGAGCAGTACAACACACTGGGAGGGAATGCCCTCTCCTTTTAAAGGCAGGAATTTTTATTTATTACCTGTGTTTAGTATGTAAACATGACATAAACTAGTGGATCTTTCTGGATTGACACAAATATTTCTTGGAATATGTGTCTGAGTTTTTGCTGCACATAAATTATGGTGGTTCATGTAGCCTTTGTTTTGGGGTGGGAAGGAAGCATCTGAAGACTGTCGTTTCAGATATAGGTTAATGATGCCTTTTATTCCTGTACTGTACAGAAAGGATTTGGATGGTAGTGATGTAGTTGCTTTGAATCTGTTTTTTTTTTTTTAAAGTTTTATGCTATGCAATGCTTGATATTTGGATAGGAATTTCATATTGACATTCAGATTGAGATTGCATTGCCATGTGACACTTGTATTTTCAGATGTTTGATCTAGATTTGTGGTCATTGTCAGAAATTTTTTTTCTTTAAGTCGTTGTTGATTTTTATATGGATTTGATTTTTTTTTTCTTTTTTTACTATAGAAGCATCATTAGCTTGAGCAACCAACAGAGCTCAACTTTGTTCCTTGTCTTAGTTGAGTTTCAGTGACTGGTATCTGTGAGCGATCTCCACACAGTGTGTTGTGAAAGCTGCCTTTTGTTAAACCACTGAATAGATACATGGAAAAACCTAACATCTTTTCAGCTATACTAACCGAGTGCTGAGTGTTCGTGAGATTCTTTCTTTTATTCAGATGGTCAACTCCCTGAAATTGGAGGAGATAAAAAGAAAGAAAAAAAAAAGAAAGGGGGCTAAAATACACTGGAAAGTTACAATTCACACTAAAAGGTTTAAACACTTCATTAGTTACTTGGCAAAAAAAATTTAAAACATCTTAATTTTGCAGATCAACCAGATGCTAAGAAAGTTGCTCCTCAGAATGACTGTAAGTAATTTTTATTTTGTTGAAAACAAAACCTAACAGTGTAACATTGTCAGAGCAAGAGTTTGAAAGTGTCCTGGTAGGTGACACTTGAATAAGGAAGATGAAAAGAATATTTGGGGGTTTTTGTTTTAATGAAGCAGTGTGAATCTGCTTTGTAGAACTGATGGTGTTAGCAACAGTTGAGATTCTTTTTAGCTTGTTTTTAAACTTCTTCATAACACTTCTTAAAAGTCAGCTTGGACTAAAGTTTAATACAGTTAACTTTTATTATTAAAGGACACGCTTAGATGTAAATTATGCTGCTTGTTTGAATTTATTTTTAACAATATTTGTTTATAGCTTTTGGAAATCAACTACCACCGATGCATCAGCAGCAAAGGTAAAGAGTTACACTACATCTTACGTGAAGTTTTAAGTTTTACTGAAATAAAGCAGTTCAAAGAATTTTTTTTCTGGAGAAGTGATACCAATGCATAAAATATTTACTCTGTGTTTCTGTGATCTGTTGACATTTACCTTCAGCAAGTCCCAGACATGTAGAATGCTGGGTGTTCATTGAACTCAGTGAAAGGAAAAGATGTTGCTGGGTTTTAGTACTTGAACATAGGTAGCATAACCAGAAGTTGGAAGCAGATTTGAAGG